CCCCAAAACCCCAAAACCCCAAAACCCCAGAGCTAATATTGAGATTTGACATTTAAATTACAAATTTAATGATTAAATTATATTTATATTATTCATGCATGTATTGATTAGATCAACTGAGTTTAACCAAAACATTTAATCTTAGCATTTTATATTTATAGCAATAACTTTGTAATCTACAATGTATATTCACAGCAAAACTCACTTCTTCATCATCTATGTGAATTTTTCAAATGTAATTTCTCCATCTAGATTTTCATCAAGCTGTTTCATTATTTCCTTCATTGTCTCTATAGATAGTACATTTTCATAACTGAGTACTTCATTGATTTCCTCTTTGCTGATTAATCCACTTGCATCTTTGTCGAACATTTTAAATGCAGTAGCTAGCTTCTCTGTAGTGAGAAGCTGTTTCTCATTCATTGTCGCTATCAAAAACTCTGAATAGTCAATGTAGTTATTCTAGTTCAGATCCACGCAATCAAAAATCTTCTCTACATCTTCCATATTTAAATTATGCCCGAAAAATCTCTCGTATCCCTTCATAATTTCATCTTTAGATAATTACCCATCGCCATCGATGTCTATTGCTTTAAATATTTTTGAAAGATGCTCCTTTTCAGATTTGCTTAGTAACTGGGTTACTATATAAGTATAGGTAGCCTATTTCAGCTTTTAATCAGCTCTGAAAGTCTTCAAGTTAGCAAGTGCTCCTTAAGCCTGAATCTAGTCTATTTATTCGTAGATAATTTCAGTGAGATTCAAGGTTATCCATTTATGCTGAATAGCCTCTTCAGCAGTCATTCTCTTCTCTGGATCATATTGAAGCAGCTTTGTAATGAAGTCCTTGGCAGTTTCTGAAATCGTGCCCCAAAGGGTTTCGTGAAATGTGAACTTGCCAATCTTTACCTTCTTCATAATCTCTTAGTCTGATTTACCGTTAAAAGGAGGTATTCCACATAAAAGAACATATGCTATGACCCCGCATGACCATAGATCACACAAATGATTGTATTGCTGTTTTAAAACTTCTGGAGCTATATAATATGGAGTACCTACTTTTTAATCCAAAAATCTAGGACGGGGTAAATCCTTGCTAGGAATTTATCGAGTTGCAGAACCGAAATCAATTATTTTTATCTGATCATAGTCTTTGCTTGCTTCAAGCAAAATGTTTTCAGGTTTTAAGTCTCTATGTACAATGTTCTTTTGATGGCAGTAATTTACAACCATTAAAATGGTGTGCATAATCAATGCTGCATCTCTTTCTGAGAATTTCTTACGCGAGGAAAGCTCATCAAACAGTTCTCCTCCTTTGCAAATCTCCGTAACAAGGTAATGTCTCTTTTCATCTCAAAAGTATTCATACATTTTGATAATGTTTGGATGATCCTAATTTATTGTCCATTATCAAATCAGATGAACTTACAAGTTCTCTAAGAATGCTAATTTCATCAGCTAACATCATTTCTTCCTCCTAGTCCATTTATGCTCGTTTCAGCACTTTAACAGCTCTCTATGCCCCCGTTTCTCGATGGACACACAATCGAACCTCTCCGTAAGCACCTATTTAAAAAATGAGTTTGCCTTTTTAAATAACTAACCTGATCCCAATTATTTTCCAATTTTGTAGCATTCTTTGAAACTAGCCGTGTTCAAAGTTATAAAATTAGCTGTATTCATTAATATTTATTTAAATGTACGAAGCAATAGACACTAATTATTAACTTTCATTTAATTATCTTTCTTATAATTCATTATTGAATTTATTACAAAATAAGTTTCTCCAACCTGTATTGCCACTTGATTGGTTTCAAGGGGTTTTGGGGTTTTGGGGTTTTGGGG